CCTTCATAAGTCTAAGCCGTGTAAGATCTGATGTTACCTGTCTGAGAATCCTAAGGATTGATGTTTCTCATCTTTTAACATCTTCCATCTTTGCATGCCAGTGACTTACTTAGAGGTAGGTTCACATCTACCCTTTATATGAAATTGTTTAACAGAAGAACACATAAACATGAGCGAAATTATTTAACTAAGTCAACTTATTTGAGCCTAGCTTACTTGGTTTACTGGAGACCTGGTGGATTTAAAGAGGCTAAAATTCACTTCACTGGGACTGCTGTTTGCAATAGTCCTTTCAGAGTCTGGCAGTATTTCCAGTGGGTTAATGCAGGACTCACAATTTCACCTCAAGACTGGAACATTTTATGATATTCAAGAAACCACACCATCAACAATGGCTTATGATATAAGATCTGGCACACTGGGGATTTCAAAACTGGCTCTTTCTAAAACACAAAAATAATGTACATTTTCAACCAACGTCCCAAGGAGTTTTCTGTGTTACTGAGAAATGAAACATACCTGGGGAAAAATATGCCTGATGTAAAAGTCCTTTATCTAAAGCCCAAGAGGATAGCACCTGTAATAGGAGGCTTCTTGTATACTCCTGTCCCCTGAGAGTAAAACAGCTGTCACAGATGTTGCCCAGAAAGTGCCAAGAGGCAGAAACACATACCTTCTGCATACAGACATCGAACCCTTGCTATACAGAAACTGTCTAATGTACAACTAGAGACCAGGGAGATCATAGCAGTGAGTTGGCAAAAATGAGATGGCTTCAATAACAATTGTTTGTCTCGCAGTTGTAAAAGCTCGCTGGTAAAGTTACAGCAAATCAAGCATCAAGAGCATCAAATAATAATGGAGAGAGGCCTAAATGCATAAAATGTGCAACAAAACCTTGACAATGAGCACAATAAACTCACATCCACAAATAGCCAGGGGCGCACACATAGGCCTGTCTGCAAGAGGTTATTATTATGACTCATTGTGGGCACAAAGTCAGTATTTGCAGCAGCGATTATTGTTATTGTGTGCTCAGACTTATATATGGGATGTGACCTTTCCAATCATCAAAGTAATGAAGATAATATGGAAGCCTAATAATTGAAAACACTTTATTATACTGCAAATTGCTGTAGTATTCCACTACTAGTGGCCTGTTTTAAAAGCCTGTTTATCCAAATTACAAAAAAACTCAAAAACAAATCCTGCTGTTTTCTCAAAATCTTCTGCTATGGAGATAAGGCACGGAATCGTAATCTTACACAAGGCACGCATATAGATTTAACATTTGTTCTCGGCCTGGCTGTAACTAACTCATGAGAATCACAAATATAACTTACTGAATCATTCCACATTTGGCTCTGTTACTCCAAAATGGATTCAAATTCATTTTCCCCTCAAATCCTACAGACAGTGAGTGCCCCATAACGACAAAGTTGAAAAACAGGTTTGCTTGAAATTCTTGAGATTTATTAAATAAAAATGAAAAATCAAGGAGTTTAATGTTATATACATCGCATAACACAGTGGTTATGCTGAGCAATGAAACGCTTATGAATTTGCGAGTTCAAATAAAAACACAAATAAAAAAAACAACACTAAAATGAAATTGAATAAAAGAATAATAAGTATAGTACTGGGCTTATTTTATTTTTCCATGTACAGAAGGTTGTGGTGATAATATAAAATTGAATTAATTATGTATACTATTGTAATGGTAAGACATTCAGATTCAGCTATATTTTAGTAGATGATGATCCATCAAAATGTTGAAAAGGCAATGATTGTAAATAGCCTCTCATTGGGATGCCGGCAAAACACTGAGCCTGGCACTGCAGTTCCTGCTGGGAGGGTCTTCTCCATAGCAGGGAATATAGTGACTGCAAAAAGGTTGGTCTTTTCCCCAGACAAAGTAGGCATCCAGGCCTTTTTTTTTTTTTTTTTTTTTTTTTTTTTTTTGCTGTATTTTTCCAACTATTTCATATTTTTCCATGTTTTATTTTATTTTTTATAATTCTTACCAACAGAGTATCTCAGGACCCTTTCTGCTTTTGGGCTTGAGTTGTTTCACCGTGATGATGTTCACCTCTTTGGAGTCATTTTTAGAGTGCTTCCTTTTTGTGCTTTTTTTCAAATGATAAGATCAAGTCTATTTTCTTGTGTTGTTTATTTTGTTTTTATTTTATTTTCAGAATGTTAGTCCCATAAATTCATTCTGTTTGTCCTGGCATTGTGTTTTCTGTAAGAGAAACGTTTCGTCACCAATCGCAAGGGACTTCTTCAGTCTCAGGTTTCCCCAATCTTATAAACAGCGCATTCATATACTGTAATGGCTGAAACTAACACTACTGACTAGCAATGCGCTTTGACGTCAGTTTCATTATTATTAATATGCAAATGCAAATTGTCATGACTAATGATTGGTGGGCATGAGTACCATTCACAGAGAGTTGAGGAATGGCTGCAATCACAGCATTATAAGCTGGTAAAAGATGTTCCCTCAAGCCCCGTCCTTAGTTCAGTGGATTTTCCCTTTTCACTTTCAAAGGCCTGCTTGACATCCTCGTACAGTCCAGCATTTGTCCCTCTCCAGCATGCACATCTTCATCATTGAAAGAGGCCACTGGACTCTAAGTGTGAACAGGCTGTGGAATTGTGGCCTAGCAAGTTAGCTTTACTTTGATGTGCCATCCGCTTTGCCAGAACTTGTTTGGTTTCCCTGATTTATATATTGTACATAATTTTCACAGTAATAAGGCCTATTGTTTACTGTTATTTACTGTTGATTGTTACTGTTATTTAACAACTTTAGTTTAAGTATATTTTTTTAATTTTACTTTCTAATAAAAAAATTTGATGAGCTAAAATAATAAAATTTACATTTTTTTAAGATGGTCCATAAATTCATTAATGGATGGAAACAAAGTTGAATTTTCTTCTTCTTTATTTATCTATATTTTTTGGTGAAATTAAATGTGACCCAAAGCTGTTCTGTTCTAAACTATGAAGGCACAAGTATACCTGCTGCATTGGTCGCTTGGTGCGTGATTCAGAGTCAAATCCATTTATGCTTACCATTACAGCTGTAGCTTCATTAAATGTTACATGTAGCTGTTGCAGTATTCTCCTGAACACTAGGTGTCGTCACTCAGACAATAAAATATAGAATATTTCATTTTGAGTAGACATTTTAGGAGGCAGACTTAAAAGCGGCTTTAATGCTGAAATATATAAAAACAAGGCAGGGCTGGTGAAATACAGAAGAAAAGGAGCAGACAGCCTTGCAGGAAGACAGCACACACAAGATGAGATGATGAGAAACACCAGGGAAACACAGCTGCAAACTAATCAGGGAAATTAAACAGGCCAGGTAAAACAAAACCCCATACAAATTAGGTGAAGCTTACCAAATTAAACAGGAAATAACTAAACAGGGGAACATTACAGATGGAGATACAGAGATACAAACTAGACACAGAAAGACAAAAGGACAAACACAGAGATGAGACTGAACTAACAAAAGAATCTGTGGAACTGAAAGCTCAGAACTAGACATGCAATAAGAAAAGGGCGTTTTAGCACCTATCATCCATTTACTGTCGTCTGAATCAGTTGATGAGTTGGTAAACTTGGACCTTTATCCTGTGATTCGGTTTGTTTTCACACAGAGAAGAATCCAAGTGAACTCAAAGTGAACCAAAATGCACCACTACAAACCACATGGCTTTGGGATGTTCAGCCGGCTCATTAGCTAGATGCGTCTGGGGCGGGACCAACAAAAGTAAAGGTAAACGTAAAGGAAGAACATGCTGTGTTCTAGACTATTGAAGGAGACGGAGAAAAAACATTCATTTCATAGCTAATTGCTAGGCCTGACAGACCTTTGCACATCTATATAACCTAAAAAATACAAAGCACATATGGCTACGGGATGTTTTTTAGCTCAAACTTGTAACATACACCTGGTAGTTAGAATATGGTGTGATCATTATCCAAACCTGATTTAAAACAGCTGCTCTGGAGTTCATCTGGAACTGTACCGAGACCACCACCTCCAAAGAGTCTCAGTGCGGTTGTTTGATCCATACCTGAGTGCAATTACTTTGTTCACATCTACACAAACAAACTGCACCAAGAGGGAAAATGAACCAGAGTTGTGGGAAAACACCCTATAAAATAACAGAAAACTAGATTCCAACAGTACAGAATATAGAACAGAGATAACCAAAAATACCAAGATAGTAATGCATTAATAAATGCTGAAAATAGTAACTTTGGTACAAAGTTGTCTTTATCTACTAATAAAACCATTGTTCAGGAAATTAGAAGCCACCAACAGTATGGTCTCAATCAGGTCTGTTTCAGCAGCTTAAAGGTCAACTAAATGTGTTGCACACTCCCATCCGCCGCTTCTGCTTTCTCTTGTCACTCTTCGCAAAAAGGGGTTTGTGCAGGAGTCATTAGTCTGATTTAAAGCTGCAGACACTGAAGCAGACTGTTAGAAACTAAGCTCCAAACTGGAATTGTGCATGTATGGTACAAAAAAAAAAGAAAAAAAAGACCTGTGCTGTACTCTATTCCGACTTGAAATTGTGGGGAGATTTGGGATGACCATTTATTTTCTCCTAACTAGGGAGAAAAAAGGAGACCCTTAAGCCCCCTTTTTTTAATTACCAGGATGTAAACATCCACTTCTCCTTGCTTATAACACATGTATACTAGTCTTTCTGATATCAGACCACATGCTTCAAGTGCAGCGAGGCAGCAAGCCTTGCTTCACACCCAAGTCAGTCATTATGCATGCATGCTCTTCATCCACACTCCACATCCCTGACTTGTGTTTGATAATTTTAGCCTAGTTTGGAGCTTCCATCCTCCTGCATCAATGCTCAGATACAGACAGGCAGAGCAAAGGCTGCTACCAAAGACAGATACAAACACAGCGCATTGAAGTCTGAGGCTAAACTTGTGAGTGCACAGTTTGCCATGAAACCCAGGTGTGTGTGTGTGTGCACATATACCCCCTTGGCTCCGCTTGGCTCAGCAGTCTGATAATGCTGGAGACAGACCAAGGGCACCTCTCCTTTACTGTTCTCGTCAGCTGAGTATGTTAACCGGAGCAAAATTATACCTCGGATAAAAAATTATCCTCCTCTGTAGGAAATGTTATCACAGCAATATGCACCCCAAAAGCATTGGCACATGCCCCGGAAAGACCCGCAGTCAGAGCCGAAAGTACGTCCCGGCCCCTCATGGGCATCTTTAGAAGTGAAATCTATTTTACACTTTTACAGGTCAGAACCCAGAGGAGAGACTGCAGATTACTGTATCAACTTTTTTTTTTGCCTTTAAATTTGAAGCTTGCATTTGGCATGTGCTGTTCGAAAATACTTAATCCCTCTAATTACGGTTTAGCCACTTTTTACTGAGCCAAAACAAATTCTATTATACCTAATGAGCTGAGTGGTTAAATAGAAACTGAGAGACACAGAAATGATGGGTCTACTTACATAAATTACACTGCATTATGGGATTTTTTTTTTAAACCACATGCTATGGAGCAAATACAGACACTTTGGAAAATTGTTTGTAGATTTACAGATACGGTTTACATAATTCATGTGTACATCAGCTAGGCAAAAGCATGCTTCTTTACTTATCAAATGGGTCAGTGATGAGGCTAGAGAGCAGGGAATTGGTCCCTCAAGTTAAATAAGGTCTTCAGAGGCGCCCACACACACACACACTACAAGCTAATATTGACTGAAAACGATGCCCATCGGCAGAATTAGATTGAGTGGAGATGCTAATAATTCATCACTTGTCAGACCTGCTTCTTTGGCCTGACATTCAAAGCATGATATCAATAACCTGCACACAAACTCGCAGAGACACACACATCTACATGTTGGCTGCTTAATTGTTTCAGTGAGGCTATGCTATTCAAAGTTAGACTGCATATATTAGCAAGTTATGCTTTAGCGGGAAATCTACGTTGCAACTTGCAACATAACCGGAACACCGGCAGCACCAATAAAAAAACTGATCAACAGATAATTTGAAGGCATGGATCTCAGTTAGAAAGAAAAAATTGGAAACAAATAACTTGGTGGCAGAAGACTCAATGAATCCAGCTTACATGAGGTGTTTACATGCCAGAATAACTTTTTCCCGGGCCAAGGTCTTTCTCATGATTACTAGCTGGTGCTAACATTGCTAACAGCACTGCAATGCATGAATAGCCATTGTTTTATGTGGGGCCATTGCTATTGAAAGAGTATTTCTGTATGATTTTCTAGGTTAGGCCCCAGTCACGCAGGCCTAGACACAGGCTGGCAACCATCTGGCAATGATAAAAAAAAATGTTAGCGATTTATTAATAGTGATTTATTGTACAATTTTGAGAAGCTGTGTAAAAGTGCAAAGTCCAGTAAAAGTTCTCATTGGAGGTGTCAAAGTGGTTAAAGCCATACACAAAGTTACTTTATTAGTAATTATTATAAGTATTGTTATTTTATTAGTAAATGTATTGTTCAGTTTCCTAATTGGTACATGTAATATCCACATAGAAAAGTCTGACTCTCACAGAAATTACAAAAATATTCTTTATTATGTATCTGGAGACCTTGTGTTCCCATGGATTTAAGTCTAAATATGAAATGTATATTACTTAATATTGCAAAGATCTGAAGTAGAGAGGACAAATATTACAAAGGGGAACAGAAATAAAAAAATATATATTTTTAAAAGTTGCAATCTCATTTCTGAGTCTCTTTAACCATCTGCTCTCCTACATTAAGTTTGTAACAACTGAGGCTCAAGGGATTAAAGCTTCACTTTCTATTGCATCAATTTTGATGATATCCTTTGTAAAATCAATTTCTTTGTTTTGTTCATGGCCATCTGCTTCACTAGAAACACGTAAGCATTCGTTTAGTGGCGCGGCGGGCGCTGATAACTTGTTTTCATGCAGAATGCACTTTCTCTCTTACACGGAGTTGAGGTGAGACTTGGCTCTAATCCATCCTGATTTTGAAGGTAATGAGGTCTATGTTTCACTGTAATGTCTGTCGGTGGGGGGTCCAACTAATAGCTGGGCCATGACTGCATTAGTCTCAGTCCATGTAAAATTTAAGTTGAACGTATCTCTTAAAACGGCATGAGAAATGGATGAGTCTTTGATCAGACAGTTACTTAATTAAATTCAATACTCTATTCTGGTTGAACACATGGTGCTGGCAGTCTGGTAATACATGAAGTCATTAGTTGCTAGAAGCTAATATTTTGTGCCCAAAAAGCTATCTGTTGTTGTTGGACAAATCACAAGCCTAAAGTACAGGGCCGGGTAGGTCTGGATAGTTTTTTTTCCCCCCTTAATAAAAGATGGCATCATTTAAAAACTGCAGTTTGTATTTGCTTGGGTTATCTCATTAATATTAAAGTTTTTCAATTATCTGAAAAATGTCAGTGAGATCAAAATGCAAAAAAAAAGACATCAAGGCACTGCATGCTATCAGGTATCTACAGTTTTCATGTGAAGTCAGAACTACAGTTTTGTGGTCATTTCCCCTATACCCATCCTTTAAATGTCTTAGTGTTTAATTTGAAAAAAAAAAAAAGAATTGGATGCCTTTCCTTGCCTTTAAACAGCTGTAATTGATGATTAGAACAGCAACTATATGGCATTTTGGCTGAGAAGGAGCTTTTATTTTGTCTTGTAAATGAGACCCCAGCAGTTTGCTTTTCTCTTTATTTTCTAATTTGGTTTCACCAGTTAACTTTATGTGTCAAATATCTATTTCAAATAAATTACTGATTCGAGTCCCAGAATGGCAGTCTGTGCACTTGTAACACTCATTTACACCTCCAAACAGCCTTATTCGAACTGAGCCTGAGATAACAAAATGTGTACAGACAACACACAAAACCACAAAGCTGATTATATAACCACAAAGTGTACAGGCGCAAAGAGAGCTGTTAATAGAGTCACAATGCTGTCATTAATGTCACTCGAAAGCTCTAACTGTCCTTCCTCACGCCGTCTGTGCCGCTCTCTTCAGGGAAGGTTAGCCACATTGCAGCCAGAGGTTTGTGCAGCGCCCCTCCACCCTCCCTCGTAGATCTTCCCGAGATCAGTCATAATTACAGCGACTCCTGCCGCTTACTGACGTCCCTGCCTGCGTTACCATGGAAATGGCTGCCATCAGAATGAGGCGGGAGGATTGCCGTGAAGGGGATCTGTATTTCCCATCGGCCATATCTGATTAAAAACTCCAGCATAGATAACAAAGAAAGGAGAAAGAAGTGTATGTGTGTGTATTGGGAGGAGGAACGGGGGGTGCTTTTTAATTTCCACACGCTGCTGGCTCCTGAAGGTCTCTTTCATCCTGGAGAAAGATACAGGGTCGCTGCTCGAGGCTCTAATGGCTACCGAGGGGGTAAATTGTACTTGCATTCTTGATAAGGCAGAGCAGGGTGATGATAGATCATGTGGGTTAATCTAATAAGTCTCCACTTGTATGATTTAAGTCCATTACGTTAGTGTATAGGACAGAAATTGTCTGTATGATTGAATGAGGAAAGGAGATAGGAAGTGTGTGGAAACACACACACACACACACACACACACACACATTCCATTTTAGAAGGGAAAGGAAGAAATGATATTTTCACTACAAACCTTTCACCAGCTTTGATGTGCTGTTAAAACTTAATTCCTTCATCCAGGAGCCCAGTTTCAGGGGTGAAATTTTAAACATCATACAGAGCACAATTCATTACACAATACAGTAAAGTGAAGTTTCAGAACCAGAGACTTCTACTCGCTTCTAGTATGGCTTCATATATGAACTCAGAACTTTTGTTTTGGCTGGCTCTTCTACCTCCATTTCCCTCAGGTCCAGCTTGAGTTGGCCAACAGGGGATGGTCAGTTAATTAAACAAGTAGGAAATGGACTTCATGAAAAGTTAATTAGGGATGTTAATGAAAGCGAAGCGGGCTAGGCCGGTGCTAGGCTGATAAAGCAGCGGTAAGCGTGCATGTATGTATGCACACGCTTCAGCCAGCATGAGCTGATTATAGGCTCAGTCGGTTCAGCTCTGGAGAATATTGGACCACAATCCCAGGGTGAGAATGAACATTTTCTTCTCTGTGAAATGATGTAGCAGTTTTAACTGAATCTATCAATCGCTGGGAGAAGAAGCGCTGATAGTCAAGGCTGGGGTCATGTTTGTGTGGAGATCAAACAGACTTTTATCTGCAAAATAAAAAGGCTGTTGTTTTGGCCTGGATTTCAAATAGGTTACCAGGGATTACTTTCTCTCTGATCTGCTTCACTGTTCTCTGTGTTTAAAAGTAGCATTTGGATTTATGAGCAACGCTAAGCCTAACTTGGTATTTTTGTTCCAGATTTCTACAAAAGAGTGTTCCATTGATTTTCATGCTGAATGTAACTGAATCATTATGAATAAGACAGCAGTATCATGATGTAGTCTTGGTTTGCTGAAGCCAAAAATATCAGCTAAAAATTAAGAACTGTCTGAGATTGCAGTCCTCTGACTGAATACATCCACATTATGATTGAATCAACACTTTAACACTGAGTTATATAAACGTTAGAGTTGCGAGCATGTTAGCCGTTGGGGTATGTGAAAGAGTGCGCGACTTCATAATCCTTATGTTAAACAGAACAGGCGTGATGTATCTGAATGAGAAACCAATGAACAGGGCTTGCCTAAACACTAGTCTCTTGCTAGTTACTTAGCAGGTGTAGCTTTAACCATGATATATGCTTCCTCCTCAATTCTGACTGTAAGACTGTAATTTACAATATAAACATTTTTTTATGGAATCTTACGAAAAACAATAATAAATATATGCCCAAAGTTAAGACTTTAAGTAATTTGATAATTTAAATGATGTGTATTTGACTGGTAAACATTCATAAAAGTTTTTTTTTCAATATTTTCAATATTTAAATTATGCTTTACCCCAAATTATTGCTTCATGGTTTTTT